ATAAATAAATAAATAAATAAATAAATAAATAAATAAATAAATAAATAAATAAATAGAACTATCTGAGAGCAAGCTTACTAATTAACTTTGATCCCCAGCTAGAAATGTTTACGGAAGCTATTTTCAAGGTTAAGGCTTTTTACAATCGCTTGTTGTACAAAAGTTTGCTAAATACTGATAGGCTGGTGAAAGTGCAATAAAACTTTATGAGTAGCTCAATATATAGCTGGAAATTTCCCTTGTTTATTACTTCAGCAGCCTCACTCAGCTGTGCCCACAATTTAGCAAATAGAACAGGTTATGAAGTAAGGGTAAGTCTGTGGATCATATATATTTTGTTGTCATTTTCAAGTTTTGAAATAAATATGGTTTTCTTAATTCGTATTAGTAATATTCATATGTATCTGAACTTGTTTAATAATATACTGATTGTTTTAAGCTGTGACAAGATTACTTTTGCCTACTTATTGATAATAATTTTTGCCAAACAATTTCAAATTCATATCAGAATTAGTAGAATGATTCTATATAGAAGAAATAGGGATTAAAATGTATTTTGATAAACAGAGTAACACTCTAATAATGATTGACTATGTTTTATTGTAAAATAGTTATATAGTCATAGTAGAATTCTACAATTATAAAATATTTATTAACGTCTAACAAATCTTTTAAAGATCTGTCATCAAGGAACCATCTAATGAACTATTTTTTAATTTGAAAATAAATATTCAGAGAAAGGGTGTTAATATAAAATTTTCACAAAGAATGCTATTTTTGCTTATTAAGCAAAATGACCATTCTTATGATGCAGTGATTTCTACACAGGAAAATTTTATATCCTTTTCCATGAATAAGTGAATCAAAAAGAGTCTTGACCTTCATATATTAAAAACCAAGATAATATAGTTCTATGTTTTTAAATGTACAATTATATTATTATACAGAACACTGGTATTAGTAGATTGTTCTTGTTGTTGTTAAGCGCCATTGAGTCGATTCTGACTCATAGCAACACTGTGTTGGGTTTCCAAGGAGTGCCTGGTGATTTTGAACTTTGCAGTTCAAACCAATTTTGCAGTCTGGTGCATTAACCTGCAGTGCCATAACAAGATTCCTATTAGTAAATAATACTTTATTAAACCTAATCCAGTTTCATCTGAGTGTCACATACTACTATAATATACTAGGAAATTGTTGAACTTTGAGAACAGTAGCAACTGAACTGATTTCAAGTCAAATTCCAGAGTGGTGTGACCTTTTAGAGATTTTTGTTGAATGTGAAAAGAGGCTCCTTTTTTGAATAAAAATTATTTTATTTTGGACATATCTAAACCACTTATCAAGGTTCATGTCTTATAATGGTTCAGTAGGAATCATTATTGTGCTCCTAGGAAATGAGCAGCTTCATTATTTATGCAGCTGTTTCATTTCTTGTGCTTGTCAAAGTATCTTTCACTTCCAGAATTATAACACATTGATCTACTGAGAAATAGCTTGGTCACAGGGTAGCAATTTTTAAACATCAAAGACTTAAAGCAGAGATTTTGAGATCATTTATAGTATTTAATCTCACCATTTTAAAGAGAAAAATATAGTGTTCAGAGTGTTTAAGAGTCTGCTTGCAGGTCTTGAAAATAGTGAGAGATCTAGATTTTTTTCGGTCAGAAAATCTTCAAAGAAGGCCAAATTTTGAGCTGGATCTTGACATGTTGAAGGGAATTAAATGAACAGATGTTGACTTCTGTGGAGCTAAGAGTTTGGGTTGGAGTCCTGGTGTGGTGCTGTGGGCTAATGCGTCAGACTGCAAAGTCGTTTGTACTGCAAGGTAGGGTGGTTCGAGCTCACCAGCTGCTCCTTGGTAACCCCTATACAGGGTCACTATGAGTTAGAACCGGCTCGATGGCATTTAACAACAACACAACAACAAGAGTTTGGGTTGAGCTTGAACTCAATAATAAATTTAGATTTTAGAGGCATAACAAAACATATTCATTAATGTAGTGTAAGAGTATCTGGACTTAAAATATGTGATACAATTGCTTTAGTAAAGATCCAGTGGAGACAACATATGTTCGTTTTTTTTCTCTCTGTTTCTAACAGACTGATATGATTTTATGCAAAATCTTATCATGTGCCAATTGTTTGAAATTCAAATTTATTGTTATTATATCAAGTCTATTCTAACTTATGGCAATGCTGTGTGCATAGAATAGAACCATACTCCATGAAATTTTCAAAGTGGAGAACTTTTGTAAACAGGTATCTAGATCTGCCTTCTAAGGTGCCTCTGGGTGAATGTGTCTTATAGCACCACACCATATATGGATGATGTTTAAATTACCTAGGTTGATATAGAAATGCCAAGTAATTTGTACATTGTTGTTGAGTGCCAATGAGTCAGTTCCTACTCATAAGGACCCTGCATAGAGTGTCTGAGGAGCGGCTGGTAGGTTTGAACCACTGACATTGCAATTAGCAGCCTAGTGTTTATCCTACAGTGCCA